GCGGGGGGAGCCGCCCCCCCCCGGGCAGGCCCCAGCCAGCCCCGCGGGCCCGGCGCTGTGAGCCCGGCCTGGCAGCCCCGGCCCTGTCCTTCCTGCCCCCCCCCATCCCCACCCCGGGCTGATCGAAGCTTTTCCGTGTGTGGGTTGGTAATGTTAATATTGATTGGTTGGTTTGGGTTGGTTTTTTTGTTGTAGCAAAAGGACCGCAAATCTAAGAAGTCCGCCTGGAAGTTTTGCCTTGACCTGACCCATCCCGTGGAAGATGGAATTTTTGACTCGGGGAATTTCGTAAGTGCTGGCTTGGCTTGCTCGGGCTCTCGGGGCGTTGTGTGGAGCTGCCCCAGTGCAGCACGGCAGCGAAACGGCAGCTCAGCAGTTACATTTTAAACCGTAAAATCAACAGCTGTTCTTTAAAGTAGCAGCGCTTTGTGAACGTTTCTTGGCTTTCAATGTGTTTTGTAGTTAACGTGGTTCATAACTACCCATGGATAGAACTGTTTTAAATTTAATCTTGTTTAAGCAGGGGGGTGACTTTTTAATTAGACGCTGTGGACTTTTGTTGCCTTGTAAATACTTGCTGTCAGGACATAAGTAAATGGTGATTTTTAATATTGCTCCATGGCTAGGGTCCCTTCCCTAGTTCATACCTAGGGTGCCATTCCCTAGTGTTCTATCTGTTCAATGTTGAAACAGGAGCAGTTCCTAAAGGAGAAGGTTAAGGTCAATGGAAAGACTGGAAACTTGGGCAACACTGTTCACATTGAACGCATGAAGAACAAGATCACAGTGACATCTGAGAAGCAGTTTTCTAAAAGGTTGGCATAGGTTTCCTTTTGTTGCGTTTGTCGTGGTGGGTTTTGAACTGTGATGTCTCAAACGTGATGCACCATTGATACGTACAGAGAAGGTGCTGGTGCTGACTTCAGATCACCTAGGAATGCTGGGGAAATGTGTAGTTCAAAGGAACGTGTAATACTGGATCTGTAACAGCTGCGTTTTAAGGCGCAGGAGTTGGTTGCTCCCTCTAGTGTAAGCACAGCAATGCAGAGAACATGGGTTGTTGGAAGTGCTTTAAAAAGTCGTACTGAGTTCATGTCATGGGCTGCTGTTTTGTTGTTTAATTGGTAGTATTAAAGTGTGTGTGTGTGCAGTATGTGTCATTGCAAAAGGATCCCATAAGTCAGATGGAGCCTGGCAGTTTGTTAGGCTGTGCAGGAGGTGAGTGCTGGTTGGAGGTGCTATTCCTCCCCAGCTCCCCACCTTCCTCCTGCAGGTACACCAGTGCCTGTTCTGTTACACTGAGGTGCAGAAAAACTTCTGGGTGCTTGTGAGTTACTGGCACTGTGCTTTGTTGGCAAAAAGCATTAAATACATTATTGTCTGTCACCTGGAATGAAAATGCCTTTTATTATCTATTATAACTTTTTATTTCTGGGTATAAACGCTGTGGTGTTGCCCTGTGGGGCCGTGTCTGGAGTGGAGGGGCAGACAGCAGTATGGGTTGGTGAGTGAGAAGGTTCTAATGTGTCATTCCTGTTGTTAAGGTACCTCAAGTACCTGACCAAGAAGTACCTCAAGAAGAACAACCTGCGTGACTGGCTCCGTGTCGTTGCGTCTGACAAGGAGACGTACGAGCTGCGCTACTTCCAGATCAGTCAAGATGAGGAGGGATCAGAGTCTGAGGAGTAACTGAAGCTCAGCTTTGAGCACAATGTACAATGAGTACAAAAGACTAGAACATCTATTTATAAGAACACTTTAACTTATTGGTGAATCAAGATTTTGTACTCTGTTTGACAGAGCATGGTTAGTTTTCTAACCTGTTTCTTAAAATTCTGATTAAAAACCAGCTTGGGGAATTGTTGGATTTGCAGTTTTCCTTTCCTTGCTAGAAATGAGCTGTTCAGCACAGCACCAGTGACAGACCTGGTGGAAAAGAACTGAGCCCTTCTCCCAGTACCAGTGTAGGATCAGTGGTTCATCCTACAAATAATGCTAGAGCTTTGTGAGACTAAAAGTACCACTCCCTCTGTTGATTATTGTGGAGCTAATGATAAAATACCTTTAAAAATTTTAATTACTTCTGTTAAAAAAACAGGCTTATATATTTTAAAAGAGAAATGTTTTATTTCTCTGTGATTTACCTAAGTAATTAATTGTGTCTAGTATTCCTGTGTATAACCACAAGTCAAAGTGGAATATAACAAAGGTTTGTTGGCTAGGTTTATATTAGATTGACAGTTAAGGAGGTAGAGATTAATCTTTTTCCCAGCATCTGGCTAAACCAACTTAAAGCATATCTTGCTGCTTCCTATAGTTCTTTGTGTTGGCAGTGACTGAGTCCCATTAAATCCACACAGATGTTTCTACAAGTGGTGGGTTCTTCATTGAAACACAAGGCATTCCAGATCTGAGAAGCTAGCTTTTGTTCATGTAATATCAAGAGAAATTGTATTAGTTTTCACCGTAAAGAAGTGGTATTTGGGAGCCTGTATTCTCAGTACTTTATTCTGCCAAACTGCGAGAACAATTAATGTGTGGTTAATGGGAATATTTACTCTTGGGTTCCACAGCAATGATGAACTCTGGAATTAGTAATGCCTTGTTTGTTTCATACCATAAAACAGGGATAGGTATAGGCTGTGGTATGAACTTCAAGCTAGTTTAGGCTGAAGTGTGCTGGCTACATTTTTTAATTTCTGGATGTATTTATTTTTTATTTCAGCATTGTTTTGGTGGCAAACCTCTGAGATAGACTGTTCAGAGAATTGCCAAACACAAAGCAATGCATGAACAGTCCTGTGGCACCCACTTGAGCTACCTAAATCTAAACAAAAAGTGCAGAAGGGGAGATGAATGTCAGCAGCCCTGGGGGCTCATTTCCCAGTTTTTAATTTACTTGAGCAGCTGCTCCCGAGTTGTGCTCTGGGAAGATGGGGTGTAGCAGCAGTGGAACAGAAGCTGCAAGTGTGACCTGTGCCTTGGTGGTTTGTTTCAAGTTGCTATTGCAGAGCTAGCAAAAGGAAGGGAGGGAGCACTCGTGTGGCTGCAGAGCTAAGGCTGATTTCATGGCTCGTGTATGTTGAGCTTTACTGTGTGTCTGTGGAAGTAACTTAGAATACCTGAAGTCCTGCCTGGCTCTCGGGCACTGGGCAATGCAGAGTGCTGCCTTGGAATTTTCTATATGAGACAAATGGAGCAGTTTTGAAGCAACAGTTAAAGGTGGCTGAGTTTTTCCTTTTCTGGAACTCAAGAGGTTGCTAATGCTTTGGTTTTATTATTTACAGTGTTGATCCCGTGTTGAACAAGCAGCCTTGTTTTTCACGGTAAAAAGCTGCAAACATTTTAAAACCTCTGGTCTGTTTTCTTTGCTGCAGTAAGTTCAGCAGAGGAAGGGCATGACTAACAGTTGTATTTCAAAATACATTCCCCACCTGTGTTTCTTAGAATTGTGCTTTTCTGTGACCATCCGTCCTTGACACGAGACTGACACAACAAACCTGCTGTGACTAAAGGGAGCAAGTACAGAGCTAACAGGATCATGCTGCCTTCTGGTGCCTTTTAAAGCAGGCTGGCAGCTGCCTGTGTGGTGGTAGAGCCTCACACATTGTCATTAGGCAAAAGACAGGAAAACAAGGCCTGGGATTTCAAGCAAAGCAACTTACTCCCAGCTCGTGGCTGGGCTTGGAGGAAACCTGCCAAGGTGCTCATCTGAGCTTCATAACTCGCTGAGCTTCACTGCAGTGAGGATAGAGTCTGGGAATTCCTCTCCCCAGTGCTTGAAAACATGGTCAACTTTGAAAGAAACGAAATTCCAAGTTTCTGATAACAGTAAGTGCAGCTCCAGGCCACTTAATGCACTTAGGAAAATCTCACTCTTTAGGTAGGACGTTTAGCTGGATGTTTTGGTTTCTCCCTGCCTTGCTGCCCCAGCTCTGCTGGCTGTGCAGGCTGGTGCTGCTGGGAGCTTTGTGGGGTCAGCAGGGTCAGTCAGGGTGAGTACATGCATGTTACATGTAACAGCCACAAAGAGGGGGTTTTAGATATAAATGGAGCATTTACTGGAATATTATTGAAGTTCCATGGGGATGAATGACTGGAGGACACAGACAAGAAGCTGACCTCAGAGCTCCAGGAAAAGGGTGATTCCTATTGAAAGGCATTTCACAGCTGGAGAGGCCAGGTGTCATGCAGGTGGCAGGCAGGAAACAGCCTCTTGGTGTTCACCTAAGGTAATTTATACAAATTATCCAGATTTGAATCAAAGTGAGCTTTTTTTAAAAGCCAGAGGTCAGCTTTTCTCTGATCTCTGGTGGGGTTTAACTGATTGAGATGGCAGCTCTGCTGCCCTGGGAGCTGCCAGGTACCTTCACCAGGGCACCTGGCACAGCGATTGGGTTTGTTAATAACCAGTTTCGTTCATCTGTGTTTGGAAAATTAAAAGATCCTGAACAGCTTGAAAACGGACAGGATTGACTGCTGGAATTTTCCTTATTTAGTGCTGGATGAGAGCCCAGAAAAGCCCTGCCTGAGGCAGGGCTGGGTTCTCCTCAGAGCTGCAGAGACTCGTGCTCCTGCGTCAGCCGGGCGAGGAACCTGCTGGGAAAAATCCTGCACCCACAGCATGAAAACCTTGTAGGTGAGTGGGGCTGCAGCTGAGTTCAGGCCCTCTGGCTCCTTGGTAACATGCTCAGGGCTCAGACAGTGCTCAAGGTGCTTTGGGATTTCCATGCTTTGGGAGTGCCACTTTGCCTCCACCCAGCTGAGAGCCCTGGTTCATCAAGCCAGAAGTTTAATTTGGAAGGAGGAATAATCTCTGCAAGGCACCAATTGCTCTGGTAGAGCAGCAGATGGGCCAGTGCTTGTGAGCTCAGTCTTAGGAGGGCAATGGCACATGAATTCTCAGAAGGCTCTAACACAGCCAAAATGATGTATTATATTTTCTTTCTTTCATTTTTCTCCCCCCTTTTATTTTTCAACAAATGTTGCTCCTCATCATTTCTCAAAAAATGGTTTTGCTTCTTTCTTCCAAATACAAATCAGTTTACAAGAGACCTCCCATGCATGGAGAATTTCAATTTTTGACAAATAATAATAAACAGATTTCTAAGCACAAGAGATATGTGGCTGTTGCCAGTGCAGCAGTAGCAGCACCACATGAGCTGTTTGTGAGCATAGAGATTATATTTCTACAGCCTCAGACTCTATCACTGCTTTTAGAGCAAAACTCTTCACTGATTTCCATTAAAAAAAGAAAAGAAAAAAAAAAAGATGATATCACAAATCTTGACCACCACTGCTAGAAATTACTTCTAGTTGGCCTTAGGTATCTGTATCATTTCTATCTACCTGTCCTTCTGGCCTATAACCCCATCAGAAAAAGATCATATATCCAAAAGCAGCAAGATCAGAAATAAAGAGGTAAGAGCAGGAAATATCTGAAAAATGTGTTGGGGTACTAACATATTCAACAGACCCAGCATGTGGCAGGTATTAAAAGAGGCACAGACTCAACACATCCAAATAACATCAGCACAAAGTAATTAGAAACAGAGCTGCCCATGGAAAACTAAATAATAATAATAGTTTCAATGTACCCAACAGCAGGAAACGAGCTTCAGTGGTGGGAGTGATCTGATTACACCAAATATAGACAAAAACAAGGAAAAAATGTCGTTGTTTTTTAAAGACAAACCCAAAGCAAAATTGTCTTACCGGGTGGCTCAGAAGGGCTGGAATGCTCCTCACCCTGCCCAGCTCACAATGCCTCATCAGGTTTACACGTCACCCCATCCCTGTGCCCTGATTCCCCAAGTAGCCCTGGTGTCCCTGCCCAACAGCAGCACACAAATACCAACCTGAAAAGTGCTCAGACCCTGCGGAAGTGAGTGTTTTTTCCTAACAATGCCCCACGAGGTTTGGCAGCAGGAAGGCAGGCAGCGAGGTGAGCATCCATTGCCTTTGGCAGCCTTTTCTGCCCCCCTGCTGTCATTATTCATTCTCACAGCCCGTGCTCCCACTTAGGGCAATCTAATATTGTTTATTTTATATGGAGATGTTTGATACTGAAAGTAGAGCCTTTGTCCCATGGGCTTTAATAGCTACGTCAGGCAGAATGTCCTGGCATGATCCCAAGCCCAGGGGCAAAGGGCTGTGATTCCCTTTAGCAGGGTAAGACTTCATTCCTTGTGTAAGCACCACCTGCTCTTTCAGCAGCTAAACCCACCAGGCAGGTTCTGCTGCCAGCCTGCAGGTCACTGCCCAGCTGTTCTGCACACACAGAGACATCTAAATTCCTGTGGCACCTCCTTTTTGGGCAGGGTGCTGGCAGAAAGCTGCTCTGAGGCTTGTCTTGGCACAGCCCTGCTGTCTGAGCCCTAATTCATGCTAAAGCTGTTGCAGAGCACAAATCATAGGTGGGAGGAGTGGCCCGGGGATAACTGGGCCAAGCACCCATAACTTGCCCCAAACACCCTTCTAGCAGGAGCCTATAAAGCCCTAAAAACCTTCTCAGAGGGGCCTGAGGGGAAAATGCCCCAAGCAGCTCTTTGCACCTGAGTCTTTTTCCTCAGAGGACTAACCAACTCACAAACTAGCAAAACGAGCCACCAGCTGGGAAGGATTTTCCATTGCTATCCACCCACACTGCATTTAAATGTTCAAGTTGGAGAAAAAAGGTTTGATATTCTATTAACAGATACTATTTTATAAAGTAATTTAACTTAGGAAGACAGTTCAAACACCACCTCCCCACAGCAGCAAAAGCTAAGCATGATTTAAGTCCCTGTTTCATTAGAATGCTTT